CAGGACAGAGTATGGGCTGCACTTGACTTGACTAGGTTGCAACACCCACCAGCAAGAAAGCTGAGACTGTGGGTAGACCATGGCAAGCTGGGTCAGATCACCTGCCAGCTTGTGCAAAATTTAGGACTGGGAACCTCTGGGGACTCCCCTGCCAGGCTGCAGCTCCCACTGGTGAGCGCAAGAGCAGGACCTCTGGGTGTATCAGGATGGGCAAGACTGCAGCACCCATCAGCATGTATGTGTGGACTGGGTCTGGGGGAAGGCTAGACTGGGCCAGGCTCCAGCACCTGCTGGTGATGATAAGAGTCAGAAGGGGTGTGGGACAGGCCGGGCTAGGCTGCAACACCTGGCGGGTCATGTGAGTGCTGGGTCTGGGAGTGGGCCGTTTAGGCTAGGCCACAGTACCCACCAGTGAGTACCAGGACTGGGGAGTGGACGTGTCAGTTGGTAGCAGCACGTTCTATCACACCGAGATCCGTTGCTGGAGGTGGGCCTGGTTGGGAATCTTGGGGAACTCATGTGCTGGGTGTGGATGAACCTGTGCCTGGTTGGGTTTCAACCTCTCTGTTGGAAGATGCCTAGGGATCCCATTGCCTTAGAGTATGCCTGGAGACCCCCAGCCTCGGCACGTACCTAAACATTCCCAGGACTAGGCACATGTCTAGAGGTCCTCGGGCTTGCCTAAAGACCCCACAAACTTGGTGCACACCGAGAGGCTCCTGGGACTTGGTGACCTCTTAAAGGCTGCTTGGACTTGGTAGATGCCCAGAGGCGCCCTGAGCTTTGACCTAAAGCAGTTGACAGGAGGCCAGAACTCCCAGTTCACTTCCCTCCCCAATCTACTTCTTCTGGGTCACCTCCTCCCCCTTACCATAAGCCCATTTCTTATAAACAATTCTAGGATGTGGATGGACTACACAGTGCCACTAGGTGTTGTATGTGACCACCTGGCATGTATGTGACTTTTAGGCTTGTAATATATCACATGTATTCATGCCCTGTAGAATTGTTGTAACTATCCCAAGTTTATCATCCCTGCCTCACCCTATATAGGCTTGTGCTGGATTGCCAATAAACAGACACACATCCCTCCGGTCTGCCTCTGGTGCTTCATTGCCACATCCCTACCTACTTGTTAAGGTGGTCTACTGACCAGAGACCCCCAAAATCCCCGCCACAGCTAGATAAACTCCCACTGGTGAACATGAGAATGGGGGCTGGGAGCAGGCTGGATCAGACTGGGCTGTAGCACCCATTAGCTCAAATGTGATCTGGGTCTGGGGGCAGCTCAGCAGGGTCAATCCACAGCATACAATACACAAGTGAGAGCCAGGGCAAGGTGCAGGCCAGGTCAAGTTGGATAGAAATACCCAGTTCACATGAAGGCTGGGGGTGGGCTAGCCTGCTGCACTGCTGGATACTGAGATGGGGACAGGCCCTCTCAGACTGGACAACAGCACCTACTGGCACATGCAAGAGCTGGGGCCAGCAGGAGACCTTGTAGAGATTTCAAACTTTTTTTGCAACCCCTTTCCCTCCCCTTTCCAAAAAACAAACTGGAACACTTAAGACAGCTGGTTTCTCAACAGATCGGTTGCATATGTCAGTCATCTGTCTCCTTTTGCTATCTTCTGCTTCTTGTACTCCCTAGCATGCCCTCCATGATTCTTTAGTCAGTACCATCCCAAAGCTGTCACATTCATGGCCACAATTTCCTCTTGTACAGAGGTCAGTACCTCTAAAAATCTAAGTCCTGAGTCCCCAGCCACAGCGTGGAGTCACTACGTGGAGGACGAGCCACGCTCACCCTCCGTCTAGAACATGCTCCTCTCCTTCTCTTCCCTGACGACTGACATTGCCATCCATGGATTAGGAACCAGGGCTTTGTGGCTGGTTCTCATCCACGCCCTTTGGCCTCTGCCTGTGCTCATGACAAGCAGGTGCGTGGCCTTGGCCATCATCGTACCTCTCCTCTTACCTACAACTCTCTTCTTTAAGGAGCTGTCCGCCCCCTGCAGCCAGTCTCTCTGGGACTCCCAGAAGTCTCTGCATCCATCAGACCCTCTCCTCCACGACTTGGGGTCTTGAAAAAAAAAAACACAGGGTCTGGAAAGTAACTGAAGCTGGTTGACTGTGATGGTGTCCTGACACCATCAGCCACGGGGCTTCCCACAGCTGGCTAGTCCACTGCCCTTTTATAACCTAAACTTCTACCCTTCCACTAAGAGTCTCATTTTGGTTACATGAGCCAATGTCCTCACAGCCTTGCTTATATCCTAAGAGTCCTGATCCATACACAACCCCCTTAAACTTTCTGTTTCTCATCTGGGCTATTCAGAGCATGTTCTTAACTGTTCTTCCAACTTCTGTACTCTCCTCTTACAGTCATGCAAAGTGTATTCTGCATGTATCAGTGGATCAGGGTATCTAGTAGTTTGCTGGAGTGCTAATGTTGCAGGAATATTGGGGAGGTGAGTCCAGGTTGGTGACTTGGCGTCAGTGACAACCTATGATTGTACACCTTGGTGAAAGGAGAAGACCTGAAGTTCCCTCTGAGTAAGAAGCAGAGCAGCTCTGAGCTAACAGAAGGGCTGGGAGGAAGACAAACTGCCGAGGTCTCACAGTCTGGGAGTCTTGGCACACCTTTCACATGTTATCTGCAGAGAGCAAATTGTACATTAGCTACTGTGAAGGCACGGGCCTTTTCCAGCTTATTTTTGTCTTTTGACAAAATTTTATCTAAATCGTATCTGTTGGCAAAGATGTGTTAGAATGGGCTTCCGTCCCATTTTGCTTAGTACATACGTGATAAACACGGAGCTGTAGGACGACTTTAGTCTGGCCTGCTTCTAGTCCTAGGCTCCTCATTACGGGCTGACTATCAGAAAAGCCTGAACACTGGGAGCTAACAGATCGTCACGGAAACGTAATCACAGACTGATCGTGTGCTGCTAGTGGAAAACAGGAAGTTCACATGATCTCATCTGTGATTTGCAGGACAGGTACCGGGAGAACAGCCAAGGGCACGTTCTCTGGAGGACCAACCTTCCCTGGAGACAGGAAGGAGGATGGGGCGAGAGCTCCCTGACACACTAAACCCACAAAAGGCCAGGGTGACTGTAGTGGAACAACAGAAGGAAAGCGGTCCAAGGGATTAGCGTGGATGCTGAGGTGAAGTCATGCAGTGCCTGCAGGAAATACAAGGGGGGCATCCTTATGCCAAACTAAACTGAGGGGTTAGATAAGTGTTCAGATTTTTAACAAAGAACATCCTGCCTGCTGTGTGGGCAGAGGGTTGGGATGGGGGGATGGACCAGCCAGGAGGGGACGGCAGGAGTGTGAAGAGGAGGGCAAGAGCTGAAATGTGGCCAGCACGTGGGAGGTGAACAGGTGACATTCAGCACATTGAGCCTCAGGTGTGCTTAGGGCCCAGTGTCACCTCTCGTGTCATGCTTTTATCCGTGACTCTAGAGTTAATCACCATAGAATCTCGCCCATTTTATGATGACATGCATCAGTTTGTGGCATAGTTGTGCCTGCCCAAGCATGTACAGCTTTTGGAGCCGAGATCCTTGTTCAGGATTCCCTATTCTAACAGAATCTTAGAAGATAAGCATTTGCTAAATAGATCAATCTGTAACATTTGATCTTGAGTGGTTCTTAGCTGGGATTGATTTTGCCCCAAAGTGGGACATTTGGCCAAGTCTGGAGACAGGGGTAGTGATGCCGCTGGGAGAGGTGATACCGGCCTCTCCTGGGTGGACGCGGGGGCTGCTGCCCACACCCCATGATGCGTTGGGTAGCCCCAGGAGGAAAGATTAGCCCCCTGAAATGTCAGTACCATGAAGGCTCAGGAACCCGATGCAGGTGTACCATTTTTAACTCACTTCTTTGTAGGCTTTGGATTTGCAGTATAGTATTTCAGAGATAAACACTCAAGGCACCAACCTCACTGATTCCAAGACACTCGCTCAGACTTGACTGTGTCTCAGGATCCTCGCAGGATCCTGTCCCGAGTCTCGGGTTAGGGCCTGAGAGTATGCATTTCCACGTAGGTGCCCACGTGGCTTTCATGGTCCTGGGTTAGTGTCAGTGTCTCATTATGCCTTTGCCCTTAGAGACCACACCCCTGCGGGATGCCAGGTGGTGGGGACGGACGCTGAGACGCAGTTTCCTCAAGAATTCATGGCGTTCCTGGCCCTATGTCTCCCCTCCAGGTTTCTAGCGCCTTCGACCCCAAACACCAGGCATTCCAGAGGGCACTGGAAGAATACCCTCGGGACCAGAGACACAGTCCCTCCCAGACTCCCAGGCTCCCACTAGCCAGTGACGGTCCTGAGGCCAGGGGCCCTTGAAGAGGTGACAGCCACAGCTTGGTCCCTCAGAGCTAGGCTCAGGAGCCCGTTCTTGTCAATTCTGGGGGTCCCTCGGGGACTGTGCATCTTATTTATCTGGGTACATCAGTGGTCCTCACAGTATGAGCTTGGTCCATCTCCCTCACCGCTACCCACACAAATTCATCTGTCCCCCCTGCCCCCGCCAAGTCGAAGATTTAATCCAACTTCAGATTTAGCCACAAAAGCCAAAACCATCCAGAAGAAAGCTCGGCCTCCTCACCAAGGCCTTGCTGCAAGATTTGTCCCCAGCGAGCGGACCTCCCAAAGCCGGCCGGTGGCTGTCGCCTTTCTGGGCCTGGCAGTGGCTCCTGAGGAGGGTGGGTGCCCAGTCCACGATTCCCCAAAGCCCGAACGCCCACCCCACGGACGCGCGGGGCGCAGGCTGGGGCCGGCTTTCCGGATGGCCCCCGTGCGGGCGTCCCGCCCCGCGCTCCTGCGTAAACACGCGGTTCCCTCGGCAACGCCGGGAGCCCGCGTCAAAGGCTTCGCCGGGTCCCGGGCTCCCGCCACCCGTCCCGCCTCGGCCGCCGCCCCGGGCCCCCCGCAGCCGCCGCCCCCGATCCTGGGGCGGGATGAACAGACCCCCGGCCGCCACGGAGCCCCATGGAGGCCCCCCAGCCGCCGCCGCCGCCGCCGCCGGCCCGCCCACCAGTGACCACGGCCTGGCCCGGCAGCCCGCACCCCGGCGCCACCTCCGCGGCCGGCCCGCCTGGCGGGACATCTGCGGCGACGGCGGCCGCACTCGCCTTCAGCACCGTGGCCAGTGCGGCGGCCGCGGCGCTGGGGAACCGGAGCGACGGGAGCGGGGGCGACGGCGCCGGCGCTGCAGGTGGAGGCGGCCACGACGCGCCCGAGGCCGCAGGGCCGGTACGGGCGGCGGCTGGGGCGGCGGGGGCGAGGCCGGAGCTGCCCGGGCCGGAGGAGGCAGCGCCCATGCTGTGGCACGGCACGGCGGTGGCGGCTCAGGCGCTGGTGCTGCTGCTCCTCTTCCTGCTGTCTAGCCTGGGCAACTGCGCGGTGATGGGGGTGATCGCGAAGCACCGGCAGCTCCGCACCGTCACCAACGCCTTCATCCTGTCTCTGTCGCTGTCGGACCTGCTCACGGCGCTGCTCTGCCTGCCCGCCGCCTTCCTGGATCTCTTCACGCCGCCCGTGGGCCACTGGCGCGGCTTCTGCGCCGCCAGCCGCTTCTTCAGCTCGTGCTTCGGCATCGTGTCCACCTGGAGCGTGGCGCTCATCTCGCTGGACCGCTACTGCGCCATCGCACGGCCTCCCCGGGATAAGCTGGGCCGGCGCCGCGCGCTGCAGCTGCTGGCGGGCGCCTGGCTGGCGGCGCTGGGCTTCTCGCTGCCCTGGGAGCTGCTCCGGGCACCGCCGCGGGAACCGAGCTTCCACGGCTGCCTCTACCGCACGTCCCCGGACCCGGCGCAGCTGGGAGCGGCCTACAGCGTGGGGCTGGTGGTGGCCTGCTACCTGCTGCCCTTCCTGCTCATGTGTTTCTGCCACTACCACATCTGCAGGGCCGTGCGCCTGTCGGACGTGCGCGTGCGGCCCGTGACCACCTACGCCCGCGAGCTGCGCTTCTTCAGCGAGGTGCGCACGGCCACCACCGTGCTCATCATGATCGTCTTGGTCATCTGTTGCTGGGGACCCTACTGCTTCCTGGTGCTGCTGGCCGCGGCGCGCCAGGCCCAGGCCGCCCAGGCGCCTTCGCTCCTCAACGTGGTGGCCGTCTGGCTGACCTGGGCCAACGGGGCCATTAACCCTGTCATCTATGCCATCCGCAACCCCAGCATTTCCGCGTTCCTGGGACGCGGTCGCGAGGAGGGCTACCGGACTGGGAACGTGGACGCGTTCCTGCCCAACCAGGGCCCGGGGTCTCAGGCCCGGAGCTGCCATCACCTTCAGAACCGCTGCACCAAGCGGCTGGAGGCTTGCCACACACTGTCCTCTTCCAACCGAGCCCCTGGGGCCGCAGGGGACGTGGCCATGTGGGCCCGGAAAAACCCAGCCATGCTTTTCTGTCGAGAGGGGCCTGCAGAGCCTGTGGCAGCCCTGGCCAAACAGCTTAAATTCGAAGCTGGTGATACCAGCCTCTAGGGGCGGGGGACTAGGGTGGACAGCCTGTGACAGATTTTCACCTGCTGCGGATCCCCGGTGAGGAGCAGCGCAGGCTATCAACTTACCGGAACAACAAAAAAGACACTGCCCCCTTCATAAAAGTGCCCAAAGAAATGTAAGATGCAAAAAAAATTAAAACCATCTTAAACCACACAACCAAGCTTGTGAGCTCTAAGTGCCAAAAATGCCAAAAGTCAGATCCACCATCACTGAAAAGCTTTTATTACAGGAATCACACTGTGAAGACAGAGTCGCTGAGTGCCACCAGGGCTCGATGGAACACACAGATTCAGGGCAGGAGAGACCCCCCCGGAGCTGCTCCTGGACCCTGCTCCATCACCAGCGTTCAACACGACTTGAGATGCTAAGCCACACACACGCTTGGGTGCTTAGATTTCTTACCTTACACGCACGGGGGTACTTCTCCCCGCCCCCGTGTTTTGTGAGAAAATTTAAATTCATGTCCTATTTAAAATGTCTTAGGATGTTTGAAAAGGAGGCCTGTTATTATGTACATTTCTGCAAACCGCAGCAGGGCAAATATAGTGTGTGGCTGTTTCACAAGCATTAACAGGGCCGGGTCCCGTAGCCTAGTGGCTAAAGTCCTCACCTTGCATGCACCAGGGTCCCATGTGGGTGCCGGTTCTTGTCCTGGATGCTCCACTTCCCATCCAGCTCCCTGTCTGTGACCTGGGAAATTAATTGAGGACGGCCCATGGCCTTGGGACCCAACACCTGCATGGGAGACCTGGAGGAGGCTCCTGGCTCCTGGCTTTGGATCAGCTCAGTTCCAGCCATTGTGGCCATTTGGGGAATGAATCAGCAGATGGAAGATCTTTCTGTGTCTTTCCTTCTCTCTGTAACTCTGACTTTCCAATAAAAGTAAATAATAAAAACTTTTTAAAAATAAATAAAAAGCATTGCCAGCCCGTTCAAATCTGTCTAGCTCCCAAGTCCCCTGGCTCTGGAAGACAAGAGGTTGTAATCTCAATCTAACCTGCCAACTTGCTGCTTTTATTTTTGATAACTGGGGAATGCCAGTCGGAATGCTTTTGTATTTTGAAAAAGTAACATTCAAAGCAGAAAACTTACCTTTTCAGGTAACAGCCAACAATGGCCATTTAAAGCCAAATTGATTGAATGAGGTGACTGGGGTGAGGTTTTATTGAGAGTGAGGGAGAGAGCTACAAAGTAACGGAGTGGCTGGCTCCCTGCCTTGCTTCAAACAGGGCGATTCCAAAGGGGGATGTTAAATGTATTTTGAGAATCAGTTACATTGGTCTCTAACTACAGAACTTTCCGAGGGAATCATACTCTACTGGGTTTGGAAGCGTGGCTATTTTGTTAGAAAAGGAAATAGCTAATTGGTGCTTTATAGACATGTGTCTGAATCAGTGTTGTCTTTATCGGAAGGGGGGAACTGGTGCGGTATTCTTAAAACATAAAAAGGTATTAAAAACATAGGCACAAGGCCGGAAAGACACTTCAAGCCAATTGAAGAGAGGTTCAGAAACATGCAAAGCCAAGATGCTTCCTTCAGTCCTTTAAAAGCACAACTCAGAATCTGCGCATATGACATGCCTCGTGTGAGATGCCTCTGTAAACAGCTTCATTTACGCAGAACTTTAAAAGATGGTTGCATGTGCTGCCTCTTTCTGTCCTTCCTGCCCTTCATTCTTCAGTAATTCATTGCCTTGGCTCATACATGTTTTAAGCTTACCATGAAAAGACAGCAGCTGTCATGTAAGAATTTCATGACGAAATAGCCAGGATCGTTTTCTTGTAGAGTGCTTGAAAATATTTTTTAGGGTTTACGTCTTTGTGTGACTGGGGGGTGTTTGCCCGTGTCTAGTAATCAAAGATGAAAATACGACGATTCATGTTCCAGCCAAGGATGTTTTAATTTTCTTGCTTCTCAGGGTATCATAATCAGAGACGTGTAACGGCATGGTTGTTGTTGTTGTTGTTGCCCTCAGTGTAGTACAAAGCTAGTGGCTTAATGTGTTGTCTCCAGCATATGCAAACTTAATGCAACGGGCCTAACAGTACCAGGTCTCTGCAAGATTTTCCTGCTAGAAGTTAAAAAAAAAAAAAAAGCATATTTTTTTGGCTTTGTGAGAAAATGAAAAGTCTGGAAATTTAGGGAGATAGTTAGGTCTTTCAGTTATAAAAGGAAAGGGCAGAAATGGGGTAGGGAGGGAGGGTTAAGGTGCTGCTTCAAACAGCAGCATCCCACCTGCAGTGCCTGGGACCAAGTCCTGCCCTGGCCTCTCTTCAGGCTCTCTGCTGATGTGCACCCTGGCTCGTAGCTCCTGACCGCAGCAAGCACTTGACTCTGGAACGCACATGCGAGACCCAAAGAGAGTTCCTGGCCAGTGGCTTGGGCTTCATCCGGCCCCGACTATTGCAGACATTGGGGGAGTGACCCAGCAAGTGGATGGAAGATTCCCCACTGCCTCTCTCTCAAAAACTCTCTCCTCCTCCCTCCCTCTGAAACTATAAGATGGGGAGAGCAGAATTAAAGATCTCAGAGAAAAGTGACAGCCTTACTGCAAAATAAAGTATTGCCTGAGAAGAACTTAGGGAAGGGCTTAAAAATAATGTGACGTGGAGTAAGCCTACCTGATGAATAAAGGGAAAAATCTGAGAGTTTGGAAGTGTCAAGGTGATGGTGAAGGATTGTACAGGAAAAAAAAATGGAATTATTAATCTAGCTCTTCAGTTACAGCCAGTTTTAGGAAAGGAATCACTGGTGAAATTGGGAATGGCTCTGAGAAATTTGCTTGGATGAATGAGAGCGGAAAGAAGCAACTAGTAAGTTGCTGAACAGCTTAGAGCATTGCGTTTGTGTTATTCAGTGGGAGAGGTTTGTAGCAAAGCCCTGCCTCTCCTTCTCCATCCACAATAATCTATAGGGAAGCCAAGAGATTGTATCCCCATCGTCATCATCACCACCCTCATCCACCATCTGTGTCTCCTACGTCATGCAGGGACGACATCTAAGATATGAATGCTACTGACAGGCATATGTGGGACCTGTCTTCTAATTGAAGACCTTGTGTTTCCTAAGAATCATACATAACCAGAATTCTTTAGTTTATTTGTGGAGAAGACATATAGCATCTTCAAAAAGGAGATAACCAGTAACCAATCCAATCTCATGAAAAGACAGAGATAAAAATCAGTGTCTTGTCTGGTGCTCTGTGAGCTAATCCTCTCTCTGCAGCACTAAGCGTCCCCTATGGGCACTGGTTCAAGTCCCAGCTGCTCCACTTCTGATCCAGCTTCCTGCTTATGAACCTGGAAAGCAGTGGAAGATGGCTCAAGTCCTTGGGCCCCTGCACCCGCGTGGGAAATCCAGAAGCTCCTGAATCCCAGCTTCAGACTGGCTCAGCTCCAGCCATTGTGGCCATTTGGGGCATGACCCAGTGCATGCAAGATCTCTGTCTCTATATAAATCTGCCTTTCAAATAAAAATAAATGGCTTTTAAAAATCATTACAATAAATTAGTTTACTCTTCTGACTCGGGAATTTCATATTCCCAGGTGTCCCTAGCTCTCCCACGTAAACTCCTAAGGGTGCTCAGATCTCCTTGAAAGGGAACAACACCTGTTCCACTCCTCCCCTCTCTTCAGTCCCTCCCTTCAGTCAAGGTGGCCAGAAGAATAGCCTATGCTTGTGCAACTGGTCTACATCTTAGCCTGCAGTCTTTTATTTTAAATGTTACTTCTTTTTATTATAAATCCATAGGCCCTGGGATCTCCCTTACCATCTCCCCAATTCCCTCCCCACTCACTGAGTTCCCCTATATTCATACACAGTCATATGTCCATCCTTGTGGGCATGGACAATGGCAGAGAGTCCAGCATCCTATTGTCAAGATATAGTAAACAGTTTCTTTGGGAATCCATCTTTGGTCCGGAAGTAGAGATGCATACTGCATTGTATCCTCACATCTGGATATGACAGTCTCCATTACACAGTTACTGTAGATCCCCTTAAATGAAAAGCCACAAAACAAAATCAACAACAGGAAGAAAAAGAGAAATTTACAATGCCATGAAGTTAAATAACATGCTTCTAGATATGATAGTCTCCATTACACAGCTACTATACATCCCCTTAAATGAAAAGCCACAAAACAAAATCAACAACAGGAAGAAAAAAAAAAAAAGAAATTAACAACACCATAAAGTTAAATAACATGCTACTGAATGACTAATGTATTACTGAAGAAATGAAAATCAAGAACCTTCTTGAAGAAAATGATGCTTCTGTATATTCTATGAGTCAGTGATGAATTTAATGAGAAGAAAGTGTTTTGAAGAGATTAAACTAATAAAAAAAAAACCATCAAAATCTATGATATATAGTTTCCAGTGATCTTCGTTGGTGAAATGTGTCTTCTGTAGGCAATAAAGCAATGGGTCTTGTTTTTTAATCCAGTCTACTAATCTGTGACATTTGATTAATGCGTTTAAGCTATCTACATTCAGAGTTCATACGAATAGGTGGTAATTTGGTCCTGTCGTTTTAGCAATGGGTTGTTCATTAACTTAGACTTCTGTTGTTATTTTACTGGGGTGTTCTTCACATTTGCCTTTGTTTTTGACAGGTGCTATTCCTGTTCTCTGTCAAAAGAACATCTTTAAGAATCATTTGAAGAGGCAAATTCTTGTGACTTTTCTTTACTATGGAAGAATTTTATTTCATTTTCAAAGACAAAGGAAAGCTTTGCTGGGTACATTATCCTGGGCTGACAATATTTTGCTTTTAGAATCTGGAATATGTCACTCCATTCTCTTCTTGCCTGTAGAGTTTCTTGTAAGAGATCTTCTGTGAGTTTGAATGACATTCCTTTATATATCAGTTGATTTTTTTCATGTGCACATTTAAGGATCTTTTCCTTATGTTCAATTGAAGAGAGCTTGATAATCATATGTCTTGGTGAAGATTGCTTTTGGTCAACCCTATTTGG